CCCTCGCTGACCGGCGAGGGGCCCGTCTTTGTCGGCGACCCCGTGTAGACCGGGGCGTGGCCCTCGGGCGAGGTCCTCAAGGTCACGGGCGGGGATACCCTGGGCTGGAAGCTGGTGGCAGCGGCGACTCCCACTGCTGACGTGTAGTGGTTGAAGCCGGGCGCCGTCGCCATCGCGGTGGAGGTGGGGGCGAACTTGGAGGGCGCGGGGTTGAATCCCGTGGGGGCTGGGGTGTAGCCGGCGGGTGCGGGGTTGAAGAAGGTGGGTGGCTGTTTGCCCACGGCTTTGTACGTGGTGATCTGTGGGGCCTTGCTCAGGGCCGCAAGCTGGGGGAGGAGGGTCAAAAAGGCCTTGATCAGAGCAACAGTCTTAAAAGGCAATAAAAATAATAACAATAATAATAATAATAATAATAATAATAATAACAACAACAACAACAACAATAATAATAACAATAACAATACAAATAATGGTAATAATAATGATAACAATAAAAATAATAAAACAATAATTATATTAATGATCACAATGATAATAATAATAACAATAACAACAATAATAATAATAACAAAAATAACAATAATAATTTAATAAGCATAGCATTTGTGTCATGACGAGGTGGAATCAGGCGCTCATCAATTTGTGGGACTATTGAGTTATTGATATCATATTAAAGCTTATTCATTTGCCTATCTTTTCATTAAAAAATATCCGTCTATCTTGAATAGAAATCGAGGTATTTGCGATTGATGGAGGTGCCTGGTTTCAAAGGTAAAATTAGCAAGAAAATGACCGACAGCTTGATAGCTTCCATAGCTTGACATTATTTGGAAACTGAAAATTTACAATTTATGTGCCTTTCATCTACATTTTTTAATAAAATACACTCAGAAATGTTTATATAAATGAGCACCAAAGGTGTAAAGCCAAAAATAAAAAATTTGATAAAATTTGCCAAAACGTGCAGCAGAACAATTCCTGTATCTTCGATTTCACTATTTCGAAAAGTGCCAGATTTCGCCATGATGCCTCTTTGTTGGTACAGCACAAATTCCCGCTCAACACCAAGCTCTATGTACTTTAAAATCTATATATCTACCCCAGCAGACCTGATAGCATTCTGAAACAACCTCAATTACCTGGGAAGCATACAGTGCAAGCTGCCATGTTATAGGTGCAGAAACATTCAAAACATACACAGACATGAAAAAAGTAAAAGATATCAGTAACTACAGTAAAAAATGATTTGTTTTAGCAAGTATTTACAGCACTTGCAACACAATAAGGTCAGATACTTGCCGAAGATTATAGAGGTGCAATGTTCAAAATTTCCTAACAACTTAAAATATTAGGAGTGTCCCGCGCTCTCATATGACCTTATGCATTTGCGAGCGCCGTAAAACACTTACCAAAAAAAAAATTTTTTTAAAAAGAGGTGCTACAAGAGAGAATAACCAACACAAAAAAGGAGGAGAGATCAGGGTGATAGATCTTTGATAGGAAAGAAGGAGCAAGCCACACCAGAGCACCCGCCAACCACTCACTCACTGACCTGAGGCTGGACGGCCGGAGACATAGACGACCGCGGCTTGTCCACGATGGTGCCTTCCTGGTAAGAAAAAGAATTAAATACCGAAGATTAGAATAGAGGTGTCATTAGAAAGCAACATACAAAGAAAAGATGGAGGAGAGATAAGGATGATAGATGTTTGATAGAAAAGATGGAGGAGAGATAAGGGCGATAGATGTTTGATAGAAAAGAAGGAGGAGAGAAAAGGATGATAGATGTGTGATAAGAAAGAAGGAGGAGAGAAAAGGATGATAGATGTGTGATAGGAAAGAAGGAGGAGAGAAAAGGATGATAGATGTGTGATAGAAAAGAAGGAGGAGAGAAAAGGATGATAGATGTTTGATAGAAAAGAAGGAGGAGAGATAAGGACGATAGATGTTTGACAGGAAAGAAGGAGGAGAGAAAAGGACGATAGATGTTTGACAGGAAAGAAGGAGGAGAGAAAAGGACGATAGATGTTTGACAGGAAAGAAGGAGGAGAGAAAAGGATGATAGATGTTTGACAGGAAAGAAGGAGGAGAGATAAGGACGATAGACGCGTGATAAGAAAGAAGGAGGAGAGATAAGGATGATAGATGTTTTTAAAGGAAAGACGGAGGAGAGAAAAGGACGATAGACGCGTGATAAGAAAGAAGGAGGAGAGATAAGGATGATAGATGTTTGATAGAAAAGAAGGAGGAGAGAAAAGGATGATAGATGTTTGATAGAAAAGAAGGAGGAGAGAAAAGGATGATAGATGTTTGATAGAAAAGAAGGAGGAGAGATAAGGACGATAGATGTTTGACAGGAAAGAAGGAGGAGAGAAAAGGACGATAGATGTTTGACAGGAAAGAAGGAGGAGAGAAAAGGACGATAGATGTTTGACAGGAAAGAAGGAGGAGAGAAAAGGATGATAGATGTTTGACAGGAAAGAAGGAGGAGAGAAAAGGGCGATAGATGTTTGATAGGAAAGAAGGAGGAGAGATAAGGACGATTTATGTTTGACAGGAAAGAAGGAAGAGAGATAAGGACGATAGACGTGTGATAGGAAAGAAAGAGGAGAGATAAGGGTGATAGATGTTTGACAGGAAAGAAAGAGGAAAGATAAGGACGATAGATGTGTGATAGGAAAGACAGAGGAGAGATAAGGACAATAGATGTGTGATAGGAAAAAAGGAGGAGAGATAAGGACGATAGATGTCTGGTAGGAAAGAAAGAGGAGAGATAAGGGCGATAGATGTTTGATAGGAAAGAAGTGGGAGAGATAAGGATGATAGATGTGTGATAGGAAAGAAAGAGGAGAGTTAAGGGTGATAGATGCTTGACAGGAAAGAAAGAGGAGAGATAAGGACGATTGATGTTTGACAGGAAAGGAGGAGGAGAGATAAGGACGATAGATGTGTGATAGGAAAGAAAGAGGAGAAATAAGGGCGATAGATGTTTGATAGGAAAGAAAGAGGAGAGTTAAGGGCGATAGATGTTTGATAGGAAAGAAGGAGGAGAGACAAGGGCGATAGATGCTTGATAGGAAAGAAAGAGGAGAGATAAGGGCGATAGATGTTTGACAGGATAGAAAGAGGAAAGATAAGGACGATAGACGTGTGATAGGAAAGAAGGAGGAGAGAAAAGGATGATAGATGTTTGATAGAAAAGAAGGAGGAGAGAAAAGGATGATAGATGTTTGATAGGAAAAAAGGAGGAGAGATAAGGGCGATAGATGTTTGATAGGAAAGAAGGAGGAGAGATAAGGACGATTGATGTTTGACAGGAAAGAAGGAAGAGAGATAAGGACGATAGATGTGTGATAGGAAAGAAAGAGGAGAAATAAGGGTGATAGAACCACCCGCCTAGAACAGCCCCTCTACTTCAGTTTGGGTATGTTTGAGTCATGAGAAGCGCATCGACGCAATAACGGAAATTTAGTGAAGAGAAAAGGCAAGACAGACACACAGAAACAACAACGGGAAAGAAATGAAGTGCGATCTACCAGAGGCACCCACCCTCTAACAATCTGTCTACCACCGGTAGCATCTGAGTAAACAGGAAAAAGTGGATGAAATCATCATCATCATCATCATCATCATCATCATCACCATCATCATCATCATCATCATCATCAAGTCACTACCTAAGAATGACAAAGCTCTTTCTGCTCAGTACCTAGTTTTGAGGAATTTTGTGGCGTCGGTGGCATAGTGGTTAGGCTCTCGGACTCGCAACCGTAAGGTCGTGGGTTCGAATCCCATCAAGGGCCCGACGTTGTGTCTTTGGGAAAGGCATTTTACACGAATTTTCCTCACTTCACCCAGGTGGGAATGGGTACCCGGCTAT